TGGTGCTGCAGTCCCATGAAATATTTAGGCTTCTGGATGCTGTGCATCTCTTACTGTCCCCCTCAGCAAGGGTACTTCTCCTCTACATCATTTATGGCTGTCCTCTTTCCTCCCCTCAGAGGCGGGAAGAGCAGGGAAAAGCAGCCCCGAAGCTAGAAAAGTCTTTCTGATCCTGTGGACAGGAGGCAGAGCCTAAGCCCCACCCCCAGGCAGCTATACCCTCTGAAAGAGCTTACCCATTTAGTTACCTAAGAGCAAGGGAAGGGGTGGATCTGGACCTAGGAAGGGGTCATTTTGCTTCCTGTGAAAGAGGAAGTTTCAAGAGGACAATGACCCTGAAGTGCTCTAGAGAAAAAGAGTCTGGTCATTATTTGTGTGTGTGTGTGTTCATTTTATTTATTTATTTACTGTTGAGACAGGGCATTACTATTTGACTTTGGCTGTCCTGGAACATACTACACAGACCAGGATGGCCTCAAACTCACAGAGATCTTCCTGTCTCTGCCTCCCAAGTGCTGGGATTAAAGGCATGCACCACTATGCCTGGCTATCCACTTAAATTTTTGAGACACCATCTCCCCTTCTTGCGCAGACCAGTCTTGAGCTCACTGTGTAACCCAGCGGTTGTCCTGAACTTTTTTTTATCAATCCTCCTGCCTCAGTTTCCCAAGTGCTGGAATTATGAGCATATTTCACAATGCTTGACTTAAAGCTACCATTTACAAGCTCTTCCTGAGCATTTACTTAGCAGTTTGTGTGCAAGATCACCTTACATCCACAAGACAGATTTCGGCTTTATTATCCTCGTTCCATCGAGGGAAACTGATGCTCACAGAGGTTAAATAACTTGCCCAAGGCAATCAGACAGTCCAGCAGCTGAGCTCACACAGACCTCCCTCTTCTCTTTGATAACCTCCCAAGAGGTGAGGCTTAGGAAGCAGAAAGACGCTGCTGAGTGCATCTTAGTCCTTCTATCTGCTGTCCCCACCAGTCTGGGGAGTTCTGTCAGGCCAGCTTCTGCCTTGTCCCCTCCAGATCAGTCTCTGTGTCCCAGTGGATCAGCTCCCCAGTTCTGATTCCCAAATACCTTATCTGTTCATTAAATAAAACTCGTCAGTAGTCAGAGGCTGGGAGACCTTGAAGAAGGGGAAGAGAGAAAGTGCTGGGGCTCAGGGACCAAAGAAAGACCAGGAGAGAACGGGGAGTAAAGGAAGGAGACACACAGAGACAGAGGTGAGAGGGAAGTAGAAAGCAGGTAAGTAAGAGCACGGTGTCCAGTGACAGTTAGATGTGGGGTGACTCCCAGCCCGGACTCTTACAGACCACCCCATTCAACGACGAGAGGTGGAACCAGAAGACCTATACCCACTCCTGTTTCCACCCACCCTCCCCCCATTATTTCCTTCCTTCCCCTCCTCCAACATCTTCTCCAGAACAATTCTAATTAGCCTAAGTGACTAAGAGATGGTTTCAGCCTAAACAACCAATTAGGTCAGGAATAAGGGAAAGTAGCTCCCCAAGTCTCTCCCCCACCAACCTACCCCCCCATATCTGCCTTTTACCCGAAAGGAACAGTCTCCTCCCAAGACTCCCCATTGTCATCCAAGCTCTCTCTGCTATCTCTGCCTCTTAGTGACAGGAGCACCATTACCTGTGACCACCCGGTCCCTCGTCCACTCTCAACCTCCCACTTCCACCCCTCCTCAGGAGGCCTGAGTCCATGGAAGCCTCCTGACAAGCAGACACAAAGCTAGGCTAGGGGTCTCCCCACAAGGCCATCCTTTAAAACCTTTTCTTTCCTCCTGACGTTTCTCTTCCCATTCTCTTCCCCCACCTTCTCTCTTCTTCCTCTGGCACTTGTTTCTAACATCCATGGACCAGGCCTCCCAGTTGCCATGGAGACGCAGTGTGCAGCTGGATGGTGAGTGTGTGAGAGGAGCTGTATGCACTTTGCAGTAGGGGCGGGCAGCTCTGTGGGAAATGCACGGGTGTGTAGGAAGCATTCTGCAAAAGGAATTGGACAGGGATCCGGGTCACCTCCCCAAAATGAGACTGTTCTAGGCGGGGGCACTCTGGAGACCTAAACCTTTAAATATTGGGTATTTTTCCTCTGGGAACACTCTCCCCCAGGTCAGATACTAAATTCTATCTAATCCAGGCATTGGAAAGGCAGATTCTGAAGAGACAGAACCTGCCTCTGCAGCCTCTAAAGAGAGGAAGAAGAAACCTAGAGAAAGATTAAAAGTGAACAGAACTCAATTGGTCTAGGGTTAACTTCACCTAGAACTTGGGGGGGGGGGCAGTTGTAGAGCAGCCAGATAGATTGGCTGACTAATAAAGAGACCAACAGCTCCCTGACACCATTCCAATGATTGGCAGGAGAGGGTGTCCGAAAACTGGACAAGGTTCTCTTCTACTTGCTTCCCCTGGATTTAGCCTGAAGGTTTGATGTCGAAGGAGCTCAAGGTACCTGCCCTCAGGAAGCTTGACATCTTAGTGGGATTCAAAAGGAAGACTATCTCCCATCCGACACTTAGCAGCTGCAGTTCCCAGCACCTGAAGGTTCTCCCTAAGCACCAAAGCTTATCAAATTCTTCAACAACAATCAAAAAGATTCCTGGCTATGTTGAATAAAGCAGCCCCTTCCCTTACTCTACCTCTGTTTATCTTCCTTTCTGCCCCACTGTTTCCTTCCCAGCACAGTATATAATTATCTCATTTGTTTGTTTGTTTGTTGTCTGTCTTCTCCACTGGAGTGTAAGTTCCAGGGGAGAGAGTAAGGACCCCGCCTAACTCAGTGCCCTGATGCCAGCACCTGGCACAGGGCCTTCCATGTGCTATAGATAAAAAAGCAGGTGATTGACTACACCGAAATCTTACAGTCTCCCTACTACCATCCCCGTTTTATAGACGAAGAAACTGCGGCTGATACTCGGCCCCAACCAGGTCACTCTAGGCGTTGAAAAGCAGGTTTCTGCTCTTACTAAGTCCACAAGTGACGGACGGACGGACATGGGACTATGGTAACTAACCAGAAACAAACCTGATTCCTCTTCCTGTCTTTCTGTCTGTGCATCTCCGCAGTCCAGACATCCCCAGAGAAACTGGGCAAGGAAGGAAGACAGAATCTATAAAAAATGTAAATCTGACCTTTTCTCTCGGAGGTGTAGACTCTCTGGCCCTCTCCTCCCCCCAGTTCTTAGATGAACTAGCAGGTCCTTCTAGTTCTGGCTTGTATTTCTACTCAACCTCTCTTGCTTTTCCAGGACACCCTATAGAAACTCCACTTCCAGGCCTTCCCAAATCGACTTCCTTTGCCTGACGGAAAGAACCATCCCACACCCACCCTCGTGAGTTTTCAGTCACGTGCCCTTTGAACCTTTGAAACTCCTCCTTGACCCAACCCCTCCGGAAAGCCTTCTGGCCTTCGGAAGCCACCCTCGTTGGTAGTTCTTGAGCCAGAATTTCAGGCTCAAGTCAAGACGTGGTCATTGTTTACCCGTCTTCATTCCCATAGAGATCATGTGTCATTCTTGTGGTGTCCCAGTATCTGGTGCCGGGCTAGTAAGAGGGAGAGGCTGGGGAATGTTTGTAGAATTAGTAAGTGAGCCAGGATCAGAATTCTGGTACCTGGCTGGCCACTCCCATCTCCTTCAACTCCCTTGACCTTTGACTTTTTTTTTTTCCTGGGCTTGGCCTTAACTGGAGGGGCTCCCCATCCTCCACTGTCTAATCAAATCAGGGTGGGAAGGATCTGGGCCCTCCACACTGATTAACCTGCCTCCTGATTCAGTGAGATCTAAAGTCTGGGGGCATCACCATGGCCACTGAGAGAGAGTCTGTAGCTGGGGTATAGGGTGACTGACTGGGTTGCAGACTCAACTAGGGAGCTGACCTAACCCTATGGATTCAAGGCTACCAAGAACCTTGCTTCTCTCCTCTCTTCCCCCACCTCAGTGCCAATGCGCGTCACGCTTGTGGGTGCCTGATGCACTGCATCTTCGCCATGCATGCTCTCTAGCTCTGGAGCACTTCCTCCCATCCATCCTCACCCCTCAACAAACACACAGCAGGGCACTTCAAAAGTAGCAGAGACCTGGAGTTGAGACTCTAGACCCCATCATGCCATGCCTCTGGGAATGGATGATGGGGCACCAGCGACCGACACCGACCCTCCCCACACACACCGTCCCCCAGTCAATCCGGGTTTACACCATGGCTCATCCCGGATTAGTCCCGTGCTCAACTAATCCCAGTTGCTGGATGGGCCCAGAGTCCTAGGCCCTGAAAGCACAGGCCCTGGACAGGGCGCAGGCCGAGCGGAAACAAGCCTGGCGAGGAGAGGAGGCGAGTCCCCGAAGGCGGGGCCGGGAACTGGCGGATCCGGTATCAGTTCTTCGACCTCTCTCCAGCCGGTGTTTACCCGGGAGCAGGGCAGGAGGAGGCTAGGCAGCTGCAGTCCAGAAAGGGGAAAGAGAGCGCAGCTGGAGCCCAGGACAGAAACCTTGTCAGTCCCCTTCCCCAAAATCAACTTCCAACCCTCGTTCCTGAGCGTGGGAGGAAGTGCCAGACACACAGATGCCTCCCGCCCCCCCTCCCATCCAGTTCCGCAATGCCTACTCATTGCCAAAGGAGCGGGAAGTGATACACCAGGGAACAGACACCTGGGCCCCAGTTCCCACCCCCAGTGCCTGGAGGGCTCCCCACTGAAGAAAATCATACGGTACCATCCTCCCAGAGAGCCCCTCCGTTCCTGACCAGCACCTGAGCTCGGGGCGGGTGGAATGCCAGGAGCCAATAGGCGTCACTCTGAGGTGTGCTAACCGGGGATCTCTCCTCAGTTCTTTCCGCCGTCCCCTGCCCTCTCAACCCCCAAGGCACTGTGATTCCAGTATGGGTCTCTCTCACACACACGTCCTCCTAGCCCAAGGCCTCCACCCAAGAATAGCTCTATTCTCCCAGGGCTGTGGACCCGAGGGGCTGGAAGAAGCGAAGTGGGGTCCGGTTTTCACACTTTTATTGTAAAGCTCGGGAATAATTACATGGGTCTTTCATTGACAGCTCAGCAAACAAACCGGAAACGAACCGAACCGGAGGGGGTAGGGGCGGTGCCTGCGCATGCTCGCGGCGAGGGGAGGGAGGTCAGAGAAAGAGAAAGACAGAAAAGACAGAAATCATTACAAATCAACGGGATTGTGCTCGCAGCGCCGGGGGTGGGGATGGAGTGGGGGCGGGGGCCCTTCCCGGGAGGAGCGAGGCGGTGGGAAGAGGCACGAACCAAGAGAAACACGACCCCGAAGTGGGCACCCGACGCGCCCAAACCCCCCTCCCGACCCCACCCCCCGACACACGAGAGAGACACGGCCCCCCTCCCCACTCAGATAACCCGAAGAGACACAGTCTCCCCTCCCATGGGCAGACATACCCGCCCTGGAACCCCCATGGGCGAGACGGCCCTCCCTCCCAGAGAAGTCTCACAAGGAGATGTCTCCCTAAGAGACTTTCACATGGTCAACACAAGCCCTCCCAACACCAGGACAGCCCCACCCAGGGAAGAAATGGCTCCAGGGGGCCTCCCTCAGGAGAGAGTGATATCCTCGAGCCCCTAGGAGAAAAGACAATTCAGAGATGCTCAGCCTTATTCCAAGTGCTGCAGGACAGACACCCTCATAGGAGAGATGGGGGAGGGCCAGAGACGTCTCTTCCCGGGAGCTTCAGAGACAGCTTTTCCCTGGAAAGAGAGCCAGCCCAAGACTGACTTGTCTTAGGTACTCCCAGGAACCCTGGGAGGCAAACAGGCTCTTCAAAGAGCCTGGGATAGGGAAGCGAGACATGTTCCCATGGTCCCTGGTGGGAATTCATGTCCCCAGAGACTCCCAAGGGGAGACATAAGGACTAGGAAGCCCCCAGGTTAGGGATGCCTAGAGACAGCTCCCCTTCTGATGTGAGAGATGCTTCAGGGACCCTAGAAAGTATGTCCCCACATACCCTTCCCCTACTAAGAGACATGCTCTGAAGTAGGGAGATGGGGACCAACTTGGTCCCCTCTAGGAAGACACTGACTGGGTCAGGCTGGGTTTGAGGGGGTCTCCTCTGGCCAAATGTCGCCTATTGGTACATAAAACTGTACGCGACACAAGGCATTGGGGAGGGATTTTACAGACCTAGGACCAACAAGGCTAGTCCTTAGTGCTGCCACCCGTCCCCTGCCCACCTTTGGTTTCACCTCTTGAGTGCCCAGGTGGTGACAGACTCAGTGCCCTTACCCCAACCAGGGGGCCAGGGCTCTGTATTTGTCTGTGGAAGGACTTCTGCTCTGTGCTTCTGAGCCCTCCCAGCCATCTAGGCTACCCCCTTCCTTCTTCTGGCTTCTCCATTGTGCAAAATGTTCCTCTGCCCTCCCGCTCAGTGCTCAGGAGTCTCCAAGGCCAGGCCAGGGTACCCAGGCCACCAGGGGCTTCCAGTGGGAATCTGCTGACCCCAGGGATGCCTCTTGGCTGGATTACCCTCTCCGTTGAGCAGATGGACCTCATACAATCTTTTTGTCCCGATCCTAACCTTCAGGACCCAGGACAGCCCTCCAGGCCACTGCCCCTCTTTCTACCAGCTCCACCGCTATTGCACCTGCCCCATTTGTGCAGGGGAAAGGGCTGTGTCTTTAACAAGCCCCTGGCCCGCTTCTTGGGCCTCCCCCCAGGGAAAGGAGCCTTTGGCCAACCCCTAGACCTGGTTGTTGTCACCTTAGCCACCCTACCCACTGCCCTCCACAGAAGGGCTGTGGATGCCAGGGCCACCACCCTAACAATGCACTCCTTCCCAGCACTGTTACCCCAAACAAAAGCAGGGGTAAGGAGGCAGAGAATAGGGTGATTTCTACAGCCCCCTGGCTTTTCTGGGGTGGGAGTGGGGTCTCTGGGGTTACAGGAGTCAAGACTCCAGCAGCACAGCTCCCAAAGGCACCAGACAACCCACCAGCCTGTCCACCCCTCCACACATGGGCCACCCCCCCAAGCTTAGACTAAGTCAAGTGGGGGCCATACCCTGAGTCTCCAGCCTCCCAGCCTGGGCCCTTGGGGAGCTGGAGAGGTAGGGGCCAAGGCAGTGGGGGCTTCTGGAAGGAAGAGAGGCTGAGGCTTTGAGATGGCCACAGTGGGAGACGGGGGCTCTGCAGGATACCCCTCACACCTTGGCCCCCTGAGGTGAAGAAAACCCCCACCTCATCATGGCTGACTGGGCTTCTCTGCCCTCTAAACCTCCCCACCCCCTCCCCCATGGGACCCCTGACCCTGGTGAAGGGAAGCCCAACTGGAAGAAGGGGCCTGGAGCCCAGGGTGCCCTGAGGCAGCCCTCCCACCCCCTGAGATCAAGGCAATGGTGGTTTTACAGGCTGATGGGTCAGTCATGGCGGGGGCTGGGGGTTGGGGGGCAGGGAGGAGGCAAGGTGCGGGTCCCCCATATAGGAGGCAGCAAACCAGCCACCCCCTGAGCAAACTTTCCTGCTCCCAACTCACCCAACCAGGCCAGAGGCACAGTCATCCCATCCCTGTCCAGCTGCCCCCCACAGCCTCAGGGCCCCTCTGTGATGCTCATCTGTCTGGGTGTGGGAGGCCAGTCTGAGAGGGGATTCCCCACCCCCCAGGGCACAGCGCAACAGTTCCAAAAAAATAGAGATTTGTATTTTTTTTTAAAAAAAAATTAAATAAAAGCCCAGCTCTGCTGATAGGCAAATGTTACCCCTGTCCCCACCCCCCACCCACCATTTGTTTCCCTGGCCTGCACCCCCATCCCACCACGGCCCCAGGGGTATTTACAACATGGAACAATAGAGGCCTGGGGGGCACTGCGGCAGGGAGGAGGGGCACAGGGCAGGTCCCCCCCAGAGGGGCCCCCCAAGACAACACAACATCAACGAGAAAAGTTGCAAATCAGGCAGAAATGGGGACATCATTCCAAGGTCCTTATATACAGACACCGCAAGACCAGCAGGGAAGGGGGTGCCCAGACGGGATCAGACATGAGCCTGTAGGCAGGTGGGCCAGCCCAGGAGCAGTACTGGAAGAAGGCCTTCGCAGCGCTCTCACCCCAATCCCCACCCCACCTTTGGTAACAACAGCCCTTCAGAGAGCCCCTTGTGGTGGAGAGTTTCCTCTGAGCATTCCCAGGGAGTAAAGTCCTCCAGTTTACCCAGCTGCAAGGCTACACTGCCCTGGTCAGCCGCGAAGGAAACACCGAGTTAAAGTGTGCTGCTGACTCTTGACTCCACCATCTGCCCAAAGCAAGGGGTACTCTCTGGAAGAAGATGGAAGGGAGCCCAGTCATTGCAGAGGAGCCCGTGGGCACCAGCTGGGTGGAGGAGCCCCATAGACGGGGAAGAAGGGGCTCCTTGGAGCTAAGGGGTAGGAATGGGGGAAGGACCTGGACCCTGCATGGGGGCAAGGGCCAACGTGGTCTTGAAGCCAGTTCTCCTACGGAACGGGACCTGGCCACAGAGTCCACGCTGGAGGGATTGAGTGGGGCCCTGGAATAGACCCAGTTGGGAGCTGGCCGGCGACTGGGGGAGGGGTGGCCGCCGGCCAGAAGGGGGCTCACAGGTAGATCTCACGCTTGGCGGCGGTCTGGGCAGATGCCGGTGTGGCTGTGGGTGGGAAGTCCGAGGTCTGGGTCAGGGGAATTTCCTCCAAGGTGGCCGAGTCCTTGCAGGAGTCATGGCTACTGTGGGAGAAGGCACTGTAGGAGGGCAGGAGGCGCACGGGGGCCGTTTTGGTGTTCCGGTCTTCCGGGGGGCTGGGGCTGCCGGCGCCCGCAGGCTCCTGCCCTCCTCGGTCCTGGTAAGGCACGAAGGTGGAGAGTTTGAGGGCGCTGCTCTTGGTCCGGCGGCTGGGAGACGACTGGCCAGGCATCCAGCATGTGTCAGAGTGACCAAACTCGCTGCACTCCCGGGTACAAGTGCCCGTCATGGCGACGTCGGGCAAAGGGCGGAGGTCTGCAGGAAAGCAAAGACAGCCATTGGAGATGGTAGCCGCGAAAACCTTTGCTCCGTGGTCTCCGATTATCATATACATTCGGCTTCTATACTGAGGTGCGGTTTCTCCTGCCGACAGAGCAACACACACCATTCAGGCAAGCACAGACTCCCTTATCTACCTGTGACCTACTGTACTGCTGCTCTCTAGGTCAGTCTCACACACAGACACACAAACACACACACACACACACTCTCTCTCATACACACACACTCTCATACACACACACACACACACACTCTCTCATACACACACACACTCTCATACGCTCACCCTCAAGAGCATCAACCTTTNCACACACACACTCTCATACACACACTCACACACACTCTCTCTCATACACACACACTCTCATACACACACACTCACATACTCTCTCACACACTCACGCTCTCTCTCACATGCACACACACTCACAAACACTCACCCAAAGACACACTCTCACACACATTCTCACACACACTCTCACACAACACTCACACACATACGCGCACACACACACACACACACACACACACACGCTCCTTAAAGGTGCTGCTCTTCCAGCCTCATCTACCCTCTAGCACTCCTCACACACCCACCAAATCTGCCCTCAGACAGGTGCACAAACAGTTCGTCTACAAACCTACAAACCGTCACCTGTCTCCAGACAGGTTCAATCATGGAATTCCACCCTCAGAGAGGGTTGAAGAAATCCCATACTGATTTAGAGGCCCCTCCCCCCACACATACAGAGTCATGGTTATACAAATCTACGCCATTGGACACCTCGGTCCTCAGACAAAGACAGCACGTACCTTCCTTCCGAGTCCCTTCAAGCCTTACATGCTCCCCGCTTCCTTAGAACCCCACCCCACATCAGCACAGCAATGCCTTACTTTAAAGCCAAGGGAAGGGGATGAGCTTCTATGTGGGATGTTCACGCTTAAGCACACACACACAACAGCGCACACATGCAGCCCCTGCCCACCTCACACCAGCCCCTCACCAGCCACCACCCTGGCCTTGCCCCCAGCTCCCTGCCCAGAACACCCACGGGAACAGGAGTTGGCCGCCTGACATCAGCAGTAGCCAGTGTGGTTGCTGGGCAGCCAGAGTCTCCATGGGAACGGCTGGGCCATGAGCACTTCCTGTCACAGCTGCCCCTGGGCCGCCCTCACTCAGGGACAGCACCAGGCGGTGACCCCCCCTCAGGGACATGACTGAGAAGATCTGCCTGGGGCAGGGGCTCCCCCAGCACCACCCACTCTAGCTTGGCCTCCTGCCGAGTAAGGTGAGGAGGGGATAGTTTTGTTATTAACCCTCAAAGCACCAAAGCTCTTTAGTTCACGGTTGGGAGACCCAATTCGGCACAGAGCACTGGGTGGGCGGGGCTGGGTGCTGGGGCGAGTCCCATAGACCCCAGACCCCAGAGCAGCTCCCACCTACCTGGCACTCTGCCTCAGGGCCTGCTCCGGCCAGCCGGCTCTGCGCGGGCACAAAAAGGACGAGACTGGCATGAGATCACGCAGGCAGGGAATGGCAGGGGAGGGGGCAGAGGGTGCTCTGGGCTCAGGGCCGGGGAGGTTAGACAGGGCCCTATGACTCAGGGCCGAAGACTGGTACTTTTCATCTTTGAGGGGGAGGGAGACTTTGGACTAAGAAGTGTGAGGCCTAAGGACAGCTCTAAGTCAGTCTTTCTATCCCAAGGGCTGGCTCCTTCAGATTCTTCTCCACAGGCTGCCATAAATACCCTCTCACACACATTCCGGGCAGCACAGGCAGACTCACAAGATACCTCACCATCCACTCCCACACGCACCTCTGCTCCAGCTCCTCCCTTTAAACTCCTCCTAGGGAGGCCCACCCCTTCCAGACTTCCTCCCAGCCCCTCCTTAGCCAAACCTTCTCCCACTCTTCTCCTGGGGACAGAGGAGATTCCATCCTTCTCTGAGTCCTTCCTAGCATCTGGGAGCCTCATGCTCTCATCTCAAATCCTCTCACTCAACCACCATCTTTCCAGTTTCCTCGCCATTATCTGAGCCTCCAGGCCACCATCCTCAGGGGTCCCTGTCCCCAGGAAGTCAGTGTAAGGCAATGCTGACCCCAAAGACCCCAGAGTCAGACATAGATATGAATCCCTTCTGGGTCTGTCACTTTCCAGAGGTGTAATTTTGGACAAGTTGCAGGACCTCTCTGAGTCTCAGTTTCCCCCCACTGTAAAGTGGGTACCATAACGTTCTCCGGTCAGAGAGTGTGAGGAGCCAATGAGTAGATAGATCTGAAAGTATGGCACTCACACACAAACGGAACTCAAGACATGGAGGACCATTTTAAAGCATCACCGTCTCTCTTGAGACGTCTACTCCCTCCTAGGATGCCTTAGACATGCGGACGCTCCTCACCATTCTCAGGGTGCTCCATTTCACCTATGCTGCCGTCAGGGGTGGTGCGCTCATAGTGGTCCTCAGGGAGGGCCAGGGGACCAAGTCGGGGCCCTGAGGATGACTTGCTAGATGGTGTTTCAGACTCTTCCAGGCCACTGTCATAATAACTGTGCTGTGATGGGTCCTGCAGCTCCTGGGCCTGACTGGTGGCCGAGAAGGTGACACGGCGGTGAGGTAACTGCAGGGAGAGAGGGTATTATTCGTGGCTGGCTAGCTTCCTCCAGGGGCCCAGCACCACACCGATCCCAAACCCAACAAGACCCTCCCAGACCTCAGCAACAGCCAAGAAGAGGCCCAGCCCCTTTAGTACAGCATAGGCCCCAGAAAGCATAGACTCTAGTAGAGATGCCTCTTACTTCGAGGCTTGCTCCCAGTACAGCCAAGTTCACACGCTGAAAGTCCCAACCCAGCATAGGCCCCACTGTTATTACAGCCCCAGACTGCCATGACCACCCTAACCCTGTGCCAGCACAGCTTCCCGATGCAGGCATGGCCTCCCGTTGTCTTTCAGGACAGAGTGAGTTGCAGTAGAGTAGAGCCCGAGAGCAGAACAGCACAGTGTCAGCCAACTCCAGATGCCAGCCTGGCCTCTAAACACCAGCACAGCCTCAAGCTTCTGAAACAGCTTCCTGGAAGCAGAGGACTCCTCTCTCCCACTCAGCTCTTCCACAGAGAACCGTCCGCTATCAGTCTAACTGTACCTTCCAGGCTTGGGCTCCTCTCCTGTCTCACTGCTCTGCAACTTCCCATTGCCTCCATCCAAAGGGGTACCAACCTTTCGCATCTTGCTCCTCAGACCAAGTCTGCAGTGCTGAGGCTTCCAAGAGCCCCTCCTACTCAGGCCCCAGCCCTCTACAAATCCCTTTATAGAGTGTGGGAGGGGATGGAGGGAGGAGAGGGAACTTGGTAAGTCAAACATGTGGTGTCAGAGAACATAAATAGACCCCTTCAGTGCTCCATGTCAGGGAAGGGGCTGTAGAGGACAAGGCCCAGTGTGGCGGAACACGTGACGGAGTCCTCTCTAGGAAACAGAAAGGAGCTCGAGGAAGGGACGCCCTGCTTGGTGAATCCAGACTTGAGTTTAGACTGGGTACTGGCATTGGAAGAATGGAACAGCGACGGGCTGTTTCCTGCCAGCAATCCTGTCTGCCTGCCATGGGTTAATGATCAGACCAGGAACCTGGCAACCTCAGCCTGGCACTTGGCACAACCATCAAGCCACCCACCTGGGACCTCCACTGGTTTTCCTGCCAACCAGAAATTAAGAGTTGTGGAGGGCACAGATCCTGGATCCCTGGAGGCCAGAGGAGCATCAAAGGCCCAGGTCCTGTTGAGGAATCAACAGACTCTAATCCTCCAAGACAGAAGCACCATGTCTCAACTCTGTGGCCCTTTCATAAAAGGTCAAGGAACTAGCCAAGAGAGGTGATCTCGGGTTGTAAGCCCACTCCCCACCCCTTCTGCAACCTCCTATTGATGTCTGAGGTCAAGGGTAGGAATATCAGGAAAAGGAACTTTGGTTCTGGTAGGACAGTCCATTGCTGCCTCCCCACCTTTGCAGGAACCCATTCAGTTCCAAATAATGCAAGGTCTGGCTGATGAAACAAGGTCTCCAGAACTGATCTACACCTTTGGAGCTAGGAGGTTATAAAGGAGCGAGGTCCACCTGGTAATGGGATAAACAGGCTCCAGGATGGTCCTCAAAGGCATAAGGCAGCCTTCTTCCCTGAAGAACCTGGTTATCAGGGGCTTCAGTCCTGCATGTGGACAAGTCCCTTGGGCTTATCCCTATGTTGGGTGGTTATACTCAACCTTAACTGCTTCTGCACGTCTGTCAAATCTTAAAAAGATCAGGTCCCAAAATCACTCAATCTTTAGTCCTGAGTACTAGCTGAGTATTTCACGGGCTACCCATACCGACCCTCCAGATCCAACATGTCTGAAATCAAATTATTTCTCATTGATAGCCTTTCACATAAGCAGTGAGCTCATCACTAGCCCATCACCAGCGCTCAGAAAGCTGATATCTCCCTCAAACCCACCCCTATGTCATATCGATTAGGATCATGAATATCGTTGGCCCTTTCTCCCTTACTTCAGCCAGATCCACCCACCTGTCTTCGTCATCCTCACTGCTATCCTTAGTCCAAACCTCAGTGCTCCAGTCCCCCCACCTCTGGCACAATAGGAATAGAGCTAGGGCTCTACACAGGCTAGGCAAAGCCAATACCCTTTCTAAAAGTCAGTTCATCTGCAAAACTGGGATGTGTGGCACTTTTCCTCTTGAGGGATGTTTAGCAAGGCATCCTAGCTCTCTTCATGTATAGTTCTTCCCGGCTCACTGTACTCTCTCCTATAGCCTCCACTCCAACCAGATTGCTCCCTCTCCCAGTTTCCAACCGGGTCATGCCCATCTACTTCAAGAGCTGCTCACACAGTGACCCTAGGCAAGGCGGCCCTTCTGCTCTAATCCTACTCATCACAAGCTAGCTCTGGGTTCCTAGTCTCCTCCCAGAAGCTCATTCCTATTCCCCCCATATTATGTCCTAAAAGTAGGAGGAGGCACTATAGTCAAACAAATGTGGAAAACTCAGTTATACAAGTTTAACAAGTTCACCCTTTGTGACAGGGTTTTGCAGAACTTTTTATAGGATGTGATAGCTAGTCTCTCACTAACTTAATCATGGAATCAGCTTTTAATTGTATAGTAGATAATGGCAGAGTCTGGAAACCAGATTCCCTGATGCTTTATGCTTCATTTCTGACTTCACCAACTGCTAGTTCTCACTTCTATGAAATGACTATAATAAACTGGCCTGTGTCACACAGTCATGAGCACCGAGTGAACTCACATAGGGTACCTTGCACCTAACCAGGCCTCCCAAAATGGTAAAGAACAGTAGTAATAAAAGTTTCACGGAGTCAGATGTGGTGACACATGAGTTACTTCCAGCACTAGGAAGGCAGAGACAGTGGATCTCTCTGAATTCAAGACCACTCAGGTCTAAATAGCAAGCTCCAGGCCACTCAAAGCAACATAGTGAGATCCTGTTAAAAAAGTACACATAAGGAAAAGTTGCCTGTGGTCCTTCTCACTTGACACCATTTTTCTATCAAAGTTGAATACCACACTGAGCATGCAGTAGGAACTTGGTCTATATGCTCTGGTGATGACAATGAAAGATTTGGTTAGATTCAGAGGTTGGGAGGAGGTATTCAGTGTGGTTCCATGGATGGGTTGGGTGGGCTGGAGCCCAGTGAGGGACAATCCCTCAGACCTTGGGAGAAAAAAAAAAAAGGATCAATGAACTAAGGAATGGAAGAAGCAATGGTTGCAAGGCAGAAATGGAAGAGAAAGAGTTTGAGGCCAGGAGTTTCTGGAGGTCACCTGACAGCTAACTTCTCAGGAGAAAGAAGTTGTAACTAGATATGACTTCCCCATATTCAGCTCCTCCAAAACTCTTCAGATGTTTTTCACTTTGGGGTATCCCAGGGCTTTTGGGAGTTTATAGATGGAACCCAGAAGAGAACTGGCGCCTTGGACCTCCTGGGAGTGTCTCAAGCCTCTTCGGTCACCATGGAGATGGTTGCCTCTGGCCTCAGAGACTTCCTCAGGACCAGAGGCCCCTCACCCACACCTTAACTTCCCTCAGGCATAACCAGAGGCAGGGCAGACCCAGGAGAGCAAGAAGTGAGAGACGGAGGGAGAGAGAGAGAAAGAGAGCTAGCTGGCAGTCCTGGCTAGAGTAAGGAGCTGAAGGAAGGGGAAGGAGGTGGCCTTGGGCAGGAGGCAGAACTGGGACACCTATGACAAAGGCTCACCCGAGCAGGAGGGTGTAAAGTGGATCTCTGAAGCCTCGGAGAAGCCCCTCGCCTCTCCCAGGACCCTAGGCTGGTGGTGGTGGGGAGACACAGGGCAGGGCCAGCTAATTGCTGAGTGTTGGTGTGCAGTAGAGTCTGGGAAAGGGACTTGGGGGAAGAGCTTGCCCTGAGGGAAGGTAGAAGGTGTAATCAAAAGGTTCTCTGGCTTCACCTGAGGCAGGAGGCTGGCTGCCACCCCACACAGGTGTTCTCAGAAGCTACTCCATTAAGGCAGATGGGAAATCACTGACTTGGACGAGGAGGCAGAGCCTCCCCTCCTACCCTTTCTCATGCCAGGGACAAGGCCCCACAGACATGGGGTGAGGGAGCGTGCTACCATACTCCCACATTTGAAGGCTGGGACTTTCTCCAGACATGGAAACGGGTGTGGGGGTGGGCAGGAGATGATATACTAAGATAGGGCTGGAGTAAAGTAGGCAGGCCTAGGGAGTAGGGAGGGATAAAGGGTAGACATGGGGAAATGGAGGCAGGACTTGAGAACAAAACTGCTTACAGTCTCTCTCGCTGCTTCTCTCAGTTCCGGGAAAATAAGAAACCAAAACTCCAAAAATAGAGAACTTTATTATCAGGGCCAGTTGAATAGGGCTGGGGTAGGGGATGCGGGGCCAGCCCCCGGGGCCTGGGGATGAGGAAGAAGTTAATACACAATACATACAGAAGGCACAAAAGGGGAGGCTCCTCCCTCCCCAGCAGAGTCCCCTCCAAAGGAGCACCTGTATAGCTGATCTCCGAAGGAGACCCAGGTTTGGAAGAGTCTCCCACTTTACCCTGTTCCCTTCTGTCTCCAAACCTGTTCACCTGCCCATCATCGGCTCCACCTGAAAGACCCAGTAGCTAGTATAGCTTCCCGGGATCTGACAAGAAGTCACAGACTTCTCTCCCTTGTGGGGAGGAGCAGGGAAGACACTACAGGGCCCCCCTCCCCATCCGTTTCCACTCAGCCTAACCCTTCATATCTGAGTAAGGCAGCAGGGTTCTTAGTGAGGCCTCAGTACCCCGGATCAGTATCCCCACCTCCCACAGCTAGCTCAGGATGTTCCCACATGATCTAGTTGATCATGGCAGGCAAGACACATCTGCTTCACTACTCCCACACCTCGGTCCAGATGGCCCCACGGTAGGGGTGGGGTGGGGGCTGGGGTGTGCTAAGCCGAAAGGGCTGGCCTACCTGCTTGCTGGGGTATTTGGGGGGGTTGGTGCGATAGCTGTAGTCGGAGTACTGCTCGGAGCCCGTGGACGTGGTGTCCCCGGTGCCCACAAAAGTGTTTGCAGGCGGTAGGTCCTGCACCACCTGGTGCTTCTTGGAGGCCGAGGGTGACTGGGGTTGTAGCTGGATGGAAGGCAGTGGGGAGTTGGAGCGGTAATGGCGGCCTAAGTCGGGGCTGCCTGGTGGGTAGTTGAGGGGCAGGTGGATTCGGGGACTGTCCCCAGGGGCGTCGCTCATTAGGTTGAACTTGAGGGACTTTTGCAGCCCGGCCTCATCCTCGTCCTCCACTGGCTTCACGGGCTTCGGGGACTTGCTCTTCTTCCCTTTGTTCTTGCTTCCCTTGGCCGCTTTGCCGCTGGGCTTGGGAGCATACAGGTCCTTAGTCTCCTTCTTGCCAGCCTGATAGCCACTCTTGGCCTCCCGCTGCCGGCAGTAGCGCACAAGCACTGCCAGGGCGATGAGTAGGGCCACGGCAACCACTCCGGCCACGACACCAAAGAGAATGTTGCCACGCTGCTTGGAACGCTCGTACTCTGGGTCCCCAGCGATGTCGATGTCCAGTGGTGTGTCCAGGCTATGGACAAGGAGGGTCTCTAGCAATGTGCGGTTGGCTAAGGTCTCGTTGACGTAAAGGTGGACCAAGGCTGTGCCATAGCGTGGGGGCTTGCCCCGGTCACTGACCTTCACCACAAGGCGGTGTAACCCGTGGTGGCGCCGTTCAATCTCCTTCTCCAGGGTGATGGCGCCTGAATGCGATCCAATCTGGAAGAGTCCGTAAGGGTTGCCACCAGCGATGCTATAGGTCAGCTCAGCATTGACACCGGAGTCAATGTCCTCTGCCGTCACCTGACTGACTGTCTCACCAAGCCGCGTCTGCGGGGTCAGCAGTCGGTGAGACGTGTTGGAGGGGGCGGTGATAAAGGGTGCATTGTCGTTCTCGTCCAACACATTGATGGTGACGCCGACGTACGCTGAGCGAGGCGGGACACCACCATCTACAGCTTTCAGTTGAAAGGTATAGGTACTCTGTTGCTCCCTGTCGAAGCTCAAGCTGGATAAGATGGTGCCTGTGCCGTTCTGGATAACAAAGTCACCGTTGTCCTGCTCAACTGAGAGCTGTACCCGGGCATTCTCCCCCTTGTCACCATCAATGACAGTCACCATGCCCACTGGACTAAGCGCAGGCATGTTCTCCATTACCGAGAAGTTGTAGCCACTCAGCATAAACTTGGGGTCATTGTCGTTGCAGTCCAGCACGTTGACAAGGACCGTGGCTGTACCCTGAAGGCTGGGACTGCCCCGGTCAGCCGCCACCACCTTCAGCTCATAGCTGTCTCTCTGTTCCCGATCCAGCGACGTCTTCACCCGGATCTCTCCGTTCTCGGGTGAGATAGTAAAAAGGCCCTGGGCAGCTGGCTCGGGTTCCAGAGAATACACCAGCTCTGCGTTAGAGCCGGAGTCAGCGTCACTGGCAGTGACCTCGGCCACCACTTCCCCAGGCTTGTTGTTTTCTGGGAAGGCGACTTCAGTGATGCTCTGGGTGAATACAGGGGCATTGTCATTGACATCTACCACCTGGACCTTGAGGGAGTTGGTGCTAGAGAGTGGGGGGTTGCCGGAGTCCACGGCCACGATCTCAATGGTATAGTCTTTGACTTTCTCATAGTCAAGAGGGGTGGTGGTCTGCAGAAAGTACTTTTTCTTGCTGTCACTGCCTGTCTCGCTGGCCTGGCGCAGCTGGAAGGGGACATCCCCTGCTACGACACAGGTGACCGCTGCATTCTCTCCTTCATCTCGATCAGATACCTGCACCAAGGCCACAGCAGTCTCCTCCGCCACATCCTCTGAGATGTTAGCCATCCCATCTTGGTGAGTCACCAGCCCTATGCCTCGGATCTCAATGGTGGGGGCATTGTCGTTCATGTCTTTCACAGTCACGACTACCTGGGCACGGGCGCTCTTCGGGGTGGCGCCTCGGTCCCTGGCGAGCACTGAGAAGCGCAGAGTGCTTAGATCCTCACGGTCCACAGGACCCTGGACGGTGATAAGTCCAGTGTTTCTGTCTAGTCGCAAAAGACGCTTGACAACTTCAGGCGCCTGGTGGAAGGTATAGTCAATCTCGGCATTGGCACCTTGGTCTGAGTCATTGGCTTTCACCTACAGGGAACAGGGACAGGTTAGTAAGTTAAGGTGCATGTGTTGCTAATGTCCTTTCCCACAAGCACACCAGACTCAATGAAGCGAACTCAGCACCCTTTCCAAAAGCAGCACTGTACAGTCTTTCCCCTAGGCCCGACACCCTGGTAGACACTGCTAACCTATTTTCCTAAAGAACCCAGATTGTAGCTTGCAAATCTTTCTTAGTGACACTGGATCCCTAGGACCAGGCAGAATTATATTGCACTCTTGGTTTGCACCATTCCACCTAAACACAGAGCTAGCCGACCATCATTGAGTAAACCCTTACAGCCGAATGAACTGCTCTCCCATCCCCAACCCCCACCACCTTCTGAAGAGATGAGAAAGTGTTTGAGCTGTAGAGATAGTGGGCATGCATGCACTTATGTGCATACCTTGTATGCAGGCATGTCACATACACAGAAGTATGTGACTGTAAGCTGTGATATTTGAGTGAGAGAAGGTGTGTTTGTTCATGTGTGTGCATGCATCAGTGGAGACCCCCATGCCCAACTAGAGGCCCCAGGTGAGGGGATTTCTATTGAAAGCAGCCAGATAGAGATACGGGTCAGAAAGAGCCCAGCAGGCCCAACCCAGCCACTGCTGTCAAACTGGGGAAACCTGTTTCTGCAGCTCCTTGACTGTTGTCTGTTGCTGGCAAGGCACCAGTGTGAGGAATCCGGCCTGAGCCTGGGGCCAGAAGGGAGGGGTTTGTGCAGGCCACAGAGCCTGCTGGCAGCGGGCTGGGCTTCCAGCACCAAACAATGAACTGCCTGTCCCTTTGCAGTGGGCACGCCCTCCCACGCCAATGCCGCCCTACACTGAGACCAAGTCTATACAAACATGGGTGGTGATGGGGCAACAGAAGCCAGGTGGGGATGGCTATGAGGGGTTGAAAGTATTTACAGCCAAACAGAATGTAACAGAGCATGTGTGTGTGTATGTGTGTGTCTGTCTGTCTTTCTGTCTGTCTGTCTGTCTGTCTGAGGGGCAGAGGGTAGAAAGGAATGGTAGGCATACCTTGGCAGTCCCTAGGGAACAAAACCAAAGTCTTGGGTTCAAATCCCAGTTCTATTGCTTTCCAATTAATTATGTGACATTGGGCCAATTTAGTCTTCCCAAGCCTCACTCTACATATGTATAAAATGGGGATGAATAATAGAACTTGCTTCATAAGATTATGGTGAAGGTTAAATGGGATAATATAAAGAAACACCTAATGCTGCCTAGAACACAGCAAGTGATTCTTAAATAATTCCCCTTTTCTTTTGATCTGCCTGTCAACTATTCATTCATTCATTTTCCCATGCATCTGTTTCTAAGAAATCCAATTATGCAATACTGGGCACTATACCTAGAGGCCCTCATGCAACAGCTGGACTTCTGTCCCCTTAGGAAGGGAAGCTCTGTCCATAGCTGTCAAGGCTTTCTGCAGAGGAGACTCCCGGACAAGGGCTCCCAGTTATCCTGGTGTCCCTTCACACCCCAGTCTGTCTGCCACCAGCTCTATGGCTATGCTCCTATGCCCTCCCTGCCTCTAGATTGGCCATATTACTTCTTAGCTATCCCCTTCCCCCCCACCTCCCATCTTTGTTTCTGTCTGTGACTTCTCACTTTCTACACTTGCTCGGTTCTCCCTCTGCCACTTTTCAGTACTGCCGACCTCTAAGGACTCTGTGTGTCCTGTGTCATCTCACTGAGAGTATGTGTAACAAGACTGTAGGACATGAGCTAAGGTGGGCTCTGACCTCAGGCAAATTTAAGAAATCTCTGTGGGCTCAGCTTCCCGTCTGTAAAATGGGGATAATGCTTACTTACCTTGTACTATAAGGATTAAATTATATAACACACATAGTGCACTTAGAGCAGCGCCTGGCACCTGGGCTATTATTATTCACCACCCTGAACGGCTGTCTTTCTATTCTTTCTCAGCCTCATTTCTTTATTCTAGTCCGCCAGTCTCCAGAAGAGATAAAACCTGCCACCCACTCACCCCAGCTCCAGGACCCAGAACGAAGGGTCTCTCGGGTTGGGTAACGGTGTCCAGGCTGAGTTCTCTTTAGCTAGCTCACAACATGGACAGAGATAGCTTCAGCCCATGGCGAAGGAGAAGGAGGATGAGGCTGGCAGGAGGCCAGGGCTGAGATGACAGCGGGAGATACACCCACCTGTCTGCAGGGACGCTTCTCCATTCCTTCCCAGGCCCCAGCCCCACCAAGCTGCTGCCCAGCCCCTGGGGCAGTTCCCATGAAGAAGGGTGGTGAGAAATTTCATAGCTGCTGACCCCTCCACAGCTGTCTTAGACGCCACAAACCCTGGTACCCCGTGTCTGGGGGAAGAAGGCAAATGTACAAACAATCCAGTGTGATTCGCCCAAACCGAGGACCCTCCTGGCTGACACAATCTCGTGATTTAGTTGAGAAGGGGCACGATGAGGCCGTGTCTCCAACCAAAGCAAGCTATCACCTGACTAAAGGGACCTGTCCCCTGGGTGGGAAGCTACTCTAATGGCAGGAGAGGGTCTACAGGGTAAAAGGTGAGTTACTTGATGCAGCACAGGCTAAGAGAAGGTAATCCCTGAGTCTAATGGGGAGGTATGATGTTATTTAGACGCTATGTCACTGTCACTTCTATAGATGGAGGAGAGGAAGGTGATGATCAATTCTCCTTTGGCTGGGGCTGGGGAGAGGGGAGCTTCCCAAAACATTCTGGCTTTTCCCCCCCCCCCCCCCCAGTGAAGAAACCTCCCACCCGGTTTCAGTAGGTCCCATTTCTAAAGGTGGAGGAAGCTTCTCACCTGGATGACGGAGTGGCCAATGGGGCTGTTCTCAGACAGCTCGGCTTCGTAGGATGGCCGCTCAAACTTGGGAGCGTTGTCATTTGTATCAAGCACAGTGACACGCAGCAGGGCACTACTGGCTCGTGGAGGACTCCCGCCATCCTGTACTTTGATGGTGAGGTCATAGGAGTCCCAGCGTTCACGGTCTAGGTTGCCCATGACAATGAGCTGTGGCTGCTTCTCTTCCTGGTCCTCAGCCACCTGCAGTCCAAATAGCTCCTGGGCCTCAGGCCCAGCCTGCAGCTCGTAGGATGCTACGCCATTGGGGCCAGCATCACGGTCTGTGGCCAGTGGGATGGGGAAGAGCGAGCCGATGTTGGTGTTCTCAGGGATGGCCAGGGTGATGACCGGAGAGGCAAAGTTGGGTGTGTTGTCATTGATGTCCTGCACCTCTATCTGTCCCTCTAGCAGCCGGGGGCTGCCATTCTGCACGAGGTCCGTGATAGACACCTCAAACTCCAGGATACAGGGGTTCCCAGGGATCTGGTTCTGGCATTCACGGAGTCCCTCTCGGTCAATGGAGGTCTCTGTGGTGAAAATGTCGCCAGTCTTGCCGTCCACTCGAAGGTATGGAGCACCTACCTCTAGTTTGTACAGATGACCCACGTCTGGAAAACCGTAGTCAGCGGCAAGGCTCCCGATGAGAGTGTTGGGCGGCTGTTCTTCTGGCACCTTGTATACTACCTGGGTGGTATGGCCTGCAGATGGAGCCAATAGGAGCAGCAGTGCCAGCAATAAGGGGGGCAGCAGCAACCGCTGCCCCCGGGGCCCAGGGCTGGGCCTCAGAGGCCCCATCCCGGCAGGCTCCAGGATCAGGAGAACTACAAGAAGACACAAAGTAGAGGCCGTCAGGTAGGAAGAGGAAGTTGACCCAAAAGGCTGACAGAGCCAATCCCCCCACTCTCCCTCTCCCACTGATTCACCATCCTCCCACAGAGAGTCAACCCCAGCCCAGATATGTGATTCCAGAACCCAGAGCCTCACCCACAGTGGGGTGTAGCAGCTGCATCTGACCCAGCTGGAGAAGTTGGTAAGACGACAGGCAGGTCTACAGCAGCTCCAGCCCATGGCACGCCCTTACCCAGCTGACGTTCCCTGGGTACCGCCCCCCCACCCAGCTTTCAGCTCTCTGCTTTGCACAACACCTCCTTCTCACCAGCATCCTGCCTTAGTCACCCATGGTAATTACCCTGATACTGAGATAGGGAGCAAAACCAAGTGGAAGGGTTAGGCCTGGGACACCTTCTGCTGGAGCGCTCTTCCCCACATCTGCCGCACAAAAGCAACACTTGCCCACCCCGCAGGTTCCCCAGACCCTGAGAGTTAGTATTGTCCTACACTTTCCACTCGTGTTAGCTAGAGGAAGAGGGGAAGAGTGTTTTTTTCCCCTTTCTTCTGAGGTGCCAAATAAGCTATGTGTATGAGTTATTATTACATCCCAAATCCTCCTTTTTTCGACAAACAGCATCCACAGTGTCCAATGCTCCCCACTCCCACCACTGAAAATGGTTAGCAGCAGGCCAATGATTTGGCTCAGTGGGTAAAGGTGCCTGCTGCCCAGCCTGATGACCTGTGTTCAATCCTTGGGACCTACATCAGAAGGAGAGAACTGACCCTTGTAAGCTATCCTCTGACCTCTACCCACATTCTGTGACATGCATTTTCCCACATATACACACAAATAAATAGGTGGTGGCGCACGCCTTTAATCCCAGCACTCAGGAGGCAGAGGCAGGCGGATCTCTGTGAGTTCGAGACCAGCCTGGTCTACAAGAGCTAGTTCCAGGACAGGCTCCAAAACCACAGAGAAACCCTGTCTCGAAAAAAAAAAAATTAAAAAAAAAAAATTAAAAAAAAAAACATTAAAGTTGAGTAGGTGCTAGTCCTCCCTCACTTCCCCACAACTATATCTCAAGGCACTGTATGACACACACAGACAGTTCTCATACTCCTTGCTGCCTGTTGCCATAGGCAGGTGTATAAAAGAAAGGAGTAGAGGTCACAATTGGGATTAGGACTGACTGACCCTCAAGTTGACATTGGGAGCTGCCCTGGCCTGTCCTTAGCAACAGAGAGCCCAGCAGGTCTAACTGGACAGAACTGCAATGACACCATCAGCCTTCACTGGTTCACTCTGTCTGCTGCCTCCTGGTTTACTTGCTTGCTTGCTTCTTTATACGCCCCCGCCCCCACCCCCATCCCGGCCCTATGCTGAGAATTGAGCACAGGGCATTGCACATGTTAGATAAATAGTCTACTACTGCACTACATTTCCAGACTTCATTTTTTTAAAGACAAAGTTTCACTAGGTATCCCACACTAGCCTTGAACTCCTCCTGTCTCAGCTTCTGGAATCGAATCGGAACCTGAAACACTGTCTCAAAACAAAACAACAAACCCAGGAAGCTGGGATTACAGATGTATGCTACCACCCCTGGCTTTGGCTCTTGTTTGACCCTTATCCCGCCTACATCCAGAACCTGCTGCATATTCATCCCTTCCCCCATCTCTAACTGGTCCAGTGTATGCCATACCCTCCTCTCTCTGCCAGTCCCAGATCCTTCCAGGAAGGGCTATGCTGCGCACACCCTAGACTACAAGTTGCACCACCATCACCACAATAGCCTGCCTCTTTCATCATCTGAGGCTGTCCGCCTGCCTATGTTATAAGACCCGCCAGTACTGTCCCCGTCACTGGTCCAACATCTCTAAACAATGATAGCAAACCCTTCCTCCATTCAAATCCCAAGTTTCTGGCCCAGCATTTTCTATGGGGAGAGGTTCCATTCATTTTCCCTTCTAGAATCTCTATCCCAGGTCTGACCCTGACTATGCCCATCCCACTGAAGACGGGTTTTGACACCGCCCGCAGCCCGACAAAGCCTTCCTAGGCCTCTTCAGCCCACAGTGACCTCTCCTTCCTTCAACTCACAGCCCTTATTGTCTACTCCAATCCCAAGGCAATGAATCACCGGGCTGCCCCGGACACCGCCCGGCCCTGTTGTTCAACTATAGTATTGGGCACCTATTCTTGAGTTCTCTGACTCCCCAGGAAGACGCCAGACATTCCAAAGAGGCAAGAGTTCATATACTCACTCACGCAACCCCCCTCCTGCCCCCGCCACCCCGACTGACATAGCTTGGTCAAACTGGGTATAAAGCAAGTGCTCACTCATTCACATACTCAACAAAAGTTTAGTCAACTAGAATGTGCTAGGCTATGTCCTGGACACTAGAACACAACAGTAAAGACTGGGCCCATCTGATGTGGCAAGGGTTCTAGCTCAGTGACTGGCAGGTTGCCGGGTTACTTCTGTGGACCCATTTGGCATATAGAAGGCAGCAGGGTGGAGATAATCCTGGGTTGTGACTTTAGATAATTTGATACAAGCCCCTGCTGGATATTTCCTGAAGTAAACAATCGAAAGCCTCAGTTTCTTCACCTGTCAAATGGAAACGATACTATCTCTTTCCTATTGGGTTGAAGTTAAAGTAGGTTGAATGTTTATGGCAATGCAGACACTCAACAAATGGTCTTTCCTTTCAAAGCACTTAGCACAATGGTAGCTTCAGGCCTGTCTGGAAAATTGGCTAATGGTTATCTTTCCTACAGGACTGTAAGTGCGGAGCATTTCTTGAGGCAGGGTCTCATACACTGTAACCCAGGCTGGCCTAGAATTCAAGATGCAGTCCAAGACGACCTTAAACTCAAGCTTCTTGAGAGCTGAAGTCACAGTTACAGCCCTCTAATTGTTTGCTGTGCCATCCAGCACTGGACCAGACACACAGCAGGCCTGAAGTAAACGGCTCTTGTGTGATTCCCGGGGTTTAACTCCTGGTGGCCTTGGCTGTATGGAAAATGGTTTTTTTCACTTGCCTATTTGCCAGTTCCCTAGGAATCTACTGGGATAAAGTGTAAGTTTCCACTTAGAGTTTACTCTGCTGGAACGCTCAGCAAATGTTCACCAAATGTACAGATTCCTTGCACAACTCAAGCACTTCACCTCCCTTGGGGAGCCTCCCCCAAAGGCAGGCCCCTCCTGGCCACTCCAGCCCGTGAGGTAAGCACACATGCTTATTCTCTATAAAGGAAGGATTTTACGGTGCCCCATTTGAGCCCACCCAATCATACGTCAAGCTCCAACCCAAAACTGCCCAGAGAGCTTCCCCACTTTTGCTCCCCACCACCAGATCAAGAAGACTTTATGTTTGGGGATCACATCCCTTTTGAGAACTGTACGTTATCCAGCAGGAATTTCTACAAAATTTGGCAACAAATCGAAGGGTCTGTAGTCTGACAAAGTCAGGGTGATTTTGATTCATGGCCACTTTGATAGCTAAATATTAAGCCCTTCACTTGGGACTTTTATCCTATTTGGGGAATCACAACCTGAAACACAAACCCCTTGGGCCTCCCAGCCCCATCTCCCTGTAAGAGGTTGCTTCCCTTCCAGTCAGAAGCAGTCACGAAGGGCTTACCACAGGGTAAGGCACAACCCAAGAAAGTTATGGGGATGGAGATGGGACTGGAGGGAGGGTGGCCCCAAAAGGGTGTTAAAGAGGGGTTAGGTACTTGAAGAGTTCTACCAAAATAAGGATTATCTGGCCCTACCCTTAGGAATTTTGATTTGGAGGTGGGACCTGAAGAAACCCCCTAGGCAACTGTAATGCAAAGGTCTTGGAAAACAACCTTGGGAGAAAGTAGTTTCAGGGAGTTGAAAAGGAGCTTAAGCCCTGCAAACTATAGCATCACCACCTTTGCTACCATCATCCCAAAAAAACTAAGGTTCTACTAGTGTATTGCTAAACATTTAATCATTTGAAATGGATATTGCTAATTTATTATAGCACCCTCCCCAAATCTTTTTTGGGTTTTGAGGCCGGAATTTCTCGGTGGTTATCCTGGAACTGAATCTGTAGACCAGGCTGACCTCAAAGATCCACCAGCCTCTGCCTTTCTCCAAAGTGCAGAGATTAAAGGTGTGCACCACCATCTGCTCCCCCACCCCATCACTGATGTTCTAAGACTCAAAAATATGTAAAACAGTCTGGGTCACAGAAGCAGTTATGAACAGGCAGGAGCTCCTTGTAAAGACAGGATTTGGGAAAAGAATCAACAGAAGCGTGAGGCTGAAATATGGTATTTATCACATTTATTACTTCTCATCCAACCCTAGATTGCCAATCTGGCCTAGCCAGGAGGGAACCCAAGCCTCCCAGCCATTTACAGCTGTGGAGAGAGTCATGTGGCCTGCCAGGAAGGGGCTGGGAGAAGCAGTCAAGTGGCCTTTCCATGTCCCTACCCCCAACATTGCTGAACTTTGTCCCAGGCGGTTGGTGTTGGGAGTCATTAGTCTCAGGCGGCAGCCTTTGAAGCTGCCTTATCTGCAGAGGCTATCCTAGGCAAGGGTGCCTCTCCACCCAGTGACATGGGTGCCCAGGATCCTGACAAGACAGAGCCTAAGGAGAGAAAGGCACAGAGACCCACCTCCAGGAGGAATGAGGAGCCAAGAAGAAAGAAAACAACAACAACAAACAGACCACAAAACAGCATCAACAAAAGCCCATCAAAGCTTTAGGAGTGAGGGACGAGGGGACAAGAGTCCCAAAAGGTCGAAAGAAACTTCATCTGTGTCAACATCTGAGAAGTTATGAGCGCGGGTGAGGGTTCACTAGGAACCTTCATTTGCACACCACTTTGGGACTAAGGTCCACTTCCTGCTGGATGCTGTGAGAAGAGCTTTTACTGTGGCAGTGACCAGGTCAGCTCTGAAGTTTCTGACACCCCCTCACACACACACACACACACACACACACACACACACACACACACACACACACACCTGCCCCAGCACCATTACACAACAGTCCTGGTGCAGCAAGCTCGAAACACCAAAGGACAAAGGGACCATCTGAGAGCCTGGGCGGAGGGTAAGTAAGTGAAGCTGCATGGGGTGGAGCTGTTCAGAGGCTTCCCACTGCGAGCAGTACTCGGTTCCTTTCCTATCTTCCAGAACCCTCTATTAGCCTCTGCAGGCTTCCAGGCACCTGCATTCTTGAACCAGATTGCTGAGTTCAAACCCTCACCCTAACACTTCCTAGCTGTGTGACCTTATCCAAGTGATTCACTTTTCTGAACCCATTTCCACATTATTAAATGGTGTGTGTGTGTGTGGGGGGGTCCTGTCTCTCCGGTGAGCAAGATGGCTCAGTGGATAAGGGGACTTGCAGCTTGATTTCTGAAATCTACATAGTGGAAGGAGAAAACTAACGACTGAAAGTCATTCTCTGACCTCCAAATGTGTGTGCACGCACAGATAAACTAAATAAAGCTAATACGTTAAAAAAAAAAAAAAACCCCTGCCTCTTTAAGTTATTTGGGAGAACTAAATGAGATCTAATGCACCTAAGCTCTATTACATTGCAAGAAAGACGAGATGTGTACGCCTCCCAGCCCTGCAGCGGAGCGTTTTATCCACCACCAGTCACATAGTAGGTGCTCTCCGGCTCAAAGAAGGAACAAACGAATCTGCTAGCCTATGAAAGAAGAGCTAGTGTGAGCCCTACTGCTGCACCCACAGTGGGCAACTGACGAACGGCATCTGCTCAAAACATTGTTTAACGAAACCGCTCTCTGCAACACCAACTAGCTTTGTTCCAGGCAGGGATACCTCTCACCCCAAATCAGAACCTGGGCTCCCTCTTAGCTCCTCCCCACCCATGCGGCCCCATTCCAGGCGGTGTCACCATCTCTTGCCCAGCACTCTCTGCTGAAGTAGCCAGAGCTGCAAGATACCCCGTTACAGTTGTTCCCCTCTAATATGGAAGGAACTAGGGATGGGTGAAGGAAGCCAGACAAGATGAGGTAGCACAAGAACCCAGGCCTGTTCCCCCTACTGTTTCTCGCTCTTTTCGGAGGAGGTTTAGTAGATTCTCTCCTGAAACCCATCCGATGCCCTACCCTAGTTGTTAGTATAGGTCTCAACCCGACCGCGGACGCCCTCCCCCCCAACACACACACACTCAAGAAAGTGCCATCCAGGCGCTCTTACACACATCCAGACCTCTTCTAAGGGTGCCACAACCACCTTCTTGGTTGTCCCTGTCCAGGCATTTGACCGAGAGCAGGTGCTGGAAAGAGTCCTGCACCTTCCGGTCGGTCCTAAGTCCTGGACTCAGCCAGCACAGGCAACCCTCGTCCTCACCATCTCGGTCAGTGAGCGCTCACAGCACACACCCAGCACGCCCGAGCGCCTTCTCCCAGAGGACGCCAAGTGTGTGTGTGTGTGTGTGTGGTGGGGGGACAGCGGCCACTCCTAAGGCTCTAGTCACCCCGCCCCCGACCCCCACCAGGGTGACGCCTGGTCTTCTGGAGCCCAAGGTGAGGCTAGGTGAGGCGCAGCACAGGGAGAACTCTCTTAGGCCAGGCGGCCACTCTTCCAGAACCGCCGCGGGGAATCCCTCCTCTCCCGCATCTCCGGCCTTGCCTAGGTCCCCCACAAGCCGGCGCCGGCGGGAGAAGCACAGCGGGCGCCGGGAGGGGGCAGGGAGGAAGCCGGCGCCGGAATCACAAAGCCGCGAGCCAGGCCGGGCGGGGACATTCTCATAAAACCTATCCTCTCGCGGCGGCAGAAACGGGGTACATGCCCTGCGCTCAGTCCGCGGTGGCCTCAGCGTCACCCGTTTTTCCTGTTGAAAGAATAGTCGCCCTCTACTGCTGGGGAAACTGAGGCCAGAGCCTGAACTACCGGAGAGTGGCCGAAGGAAGGAACGAGAGTCCTATTCGCCTACCAGCTCTTCTGCGCATGCTGCGGTCCCCGTTCCGGCCCCAGGGCCCTGTCAGCACACAGGACAGGCCTGCGACCGGGCCCCATAGCGGGGCACCCAGGTGTGCGGGACCCAGGTGTGCTGGGGATCCAGGTGGCGCGGAGAACTCAGCTAAACGGCCCGGACTCTCAAACACCCAACACCTCCTTCAGTAATGTACCTTTTGCATTAGGACCTAGGGTCACACAGCCCCAGGGTGGCGGCATGGCGCGGCCTGCCCTGTCCAGCTTGTTCTCGGAATACCCAGCCGGTCGGGCCCCGGAGTGCAAGTGGGGGGAGGTGCCGCCTGGAAGCCGGTCTGGCCGGCCCCGGGGCTCCAGTTGTGTGGATATTTACAACAAAGTAGTCCTGATCGAGGTGACAGGGTGCTTTCTAGGAGAACCTGGAGGCTTCTCCTGAGGGGATCTGACCAGCAAAAGTGGAGTGTGTATGTGTGTGTGTGTGTGTGTGTGCGCCCGCGCGCGCTGCGGAGTGTAATGTGACACTGTTGGTGTAAGGTGTGTGTGTGACAACCAGTGCTAAGATGCTCTGAGCAGTGGAATCTGTTTATGAGTCTCTGCTGTAGGTACCTCTGTGCTAGGGTGTGTGCTACCAAGACGTGTGATGAGACGCTGGGTTGTGTGTGGGGGTACAGTAGAGGGGGCAAGGAAGACCAGTGCCGTGTACCTATATCCTGGCCAAGGAGTGGGCAATCGTTTATGTCAGGGTGTGTTCCTTCAGCGGTGTGTACAAGGAGCTAGGCTTGGAGCGTTCATCTGGCGAACCGAGGAGTCTTCTCCCTACAGGAAGGCACGAGGTTGTGTTTGTGTGTCTGGCACTGCCTAGTATCACACCCGATTGTGTTGTAGTTATCTATGGCCACGGGTTGTGTGTCCCCGCCGCTGATCGTGCAGGCGCTGAAGCAGATTCTGAGCTTGGTGACTGTGCCCAGTGGGCGCTGGTGTGCGGGAGGTATGTCTGTGTTCACATATATGTACGGATGAATGTATGTGTGTCTGGGTCTGTGCTGTGACTCTTCCAGGTGTCCGCGACGAGCTGGAAGCGCCTGAGTGAGCTGAGCAGATCGCCCAACAAGTGTGTGTGTGCTGGATAATGTTCCTAGCTCGCCTGCTCCTCCGGCAGCCCCCGGCTCCACTGAGGGCCTTGCGCTTCCCCCAAACCCTCTCCATTCCGCGCGCTCCTGGAGTCTCTCTCTCATCCCCGCGGCTTGGAGCGCGCTCGGGTGCGGACGCCGGGGCTGGGGTCCAACTCAGCACCCCCTCCCTTCCCTCAGCTTCTTGCAGTGGACCTCGGAGACTAGGGAACCCCAGCCGCAGCCTCCTCATTCAGTGTCCCAACGACCCCCACCTCAGCCCCGGCGCGCTGGACACCGGATGGGCCCCGGTCGCCTTGCTCCACCGAGCGCCCCTCCCTCAGCTCCCGCCGGCCATGGCCGCTCTGGGCCCCGAGCCGCCGCCGCCGCTAGATTCTTACCCGCCTCGGGGCAGCACTCGCCGCCCGCCCCGCTGTCCGTGAGCCGCCGCCGGCCCCGGCGCGGGCTGCGGCTCGACACGGCAGGGGCTGGCGCTGCGGTTCAGGCTCCGGCTCCGGCAGGCTGTGTGGGGCGCAGCAGCCAGGCGGCTTCGCGTCCGCGCCGCGCTCCCGCTCCGCTAGTGTGTGAGGCGGTAGCGGCGGCGGTGGCGGCGGCGGCGGAGCCAGCAGCGAGCGGAGCGCACAGCCGGCCCGCCCCCTCCCTCCCCCTCCCTCCCGGCCTGCCCGCCCTCCCCCCTCCCTCCTTAGGCCGGGAGGTGGAGCCGGGACCGCTCTGGTCCCGCTGGGAGGGGACCCTGAGCACCGCGCCCCCAAACAAGTGCCCCCTCCTCTTACACTTCCCACCACCACAACCACCACCACCACACTCCTGCCTAAGGCCGGGTGCACTGGCTTCCTTTCCGGCTCTTCACCTTACACTCATTCCACCCAAGCGTCCATCTAGGACCCCGTCGGAAATGCTCTCTCCTGCTTCAAACACCTGTCCCCTCCACTCTGCCTCCTGGGAAGTCAAGGCCGGGGAAGTGTCTCCTCTAGCTCTTCCCCCAGCATCTTCCCTGGGCAGCTGACCAACCAGGTCCACCCTCTTCCCAGTCAGACCCCCGGGTCACCCCGAGTGGCCCTCCCTTCTCTTTGCGCTCAGGAGAAGTCCGCCCCTCCCCCTCCGGACGGAGCTGCAGTGGGGGTGAGACTGGAAAGGGGACCGTAGAAAGCTTAGGGCATGGGATCTTGGAGCTCTAGAGTGAGGGCGAGAAAGGTAGGTGTTCAAGTGTGAGGATGAAATGACGCTCCTGATTTGAAGCTGTTGGAGGGTCCCCTCAGCACCTGCCCTCTTGGGCGGTGTAGAGAGAGATGCACTTGAGGCGGTGATTTAACACACCTCATAGAGTCAAAGGGATCGCTACCCCGTGAAGTCGCCCAGTGTCACGACTTGTGTCACACGCCCTCACAGTGCCACAGGCTCCCTGTCACACACCCGGCGAGTCACACACCGAGTCACACGCAGTGTCTCACACTCCCAATACTTGGTTTCTAGCGCTCAGCTCTGGCTCTCTGGCGCCATCTTGAGGTGCTTGAGCAGCTTGGGCACTCCCTCTTGCTCAGGTTTTGGTACCCAGGCTGCCAAGTGCCCCAGTTCAGTAGGACCTCCTGCCTAGCGCTGCTTTCTAAGCCAAGGCCCCATGTTCCAGGTCAGACGAATGGGGTAGAGCATCTGTAGCAAGGTCTGGTGCTATGTTTGGGAAAGGCACTTATATGAGACGACTGCTCTCTGGGTCTCTGTCATAGCCACCGACCCCCACCCCCACTCCATTTCTGTCCCTCCCTCATTTCCCCTACCTATCTCTTTCCTACCTATCTTTCTTCTATCTTGTGTTTTTTTTTTTTCCTTCTGCTTTCTCATCTTTCTAGCCTCTGGGCCTTTTTATATGGGGCATTCTTCGAGGTCGGGGTGAGATCTGTAGCTAGCTGAAGAAGCAATGGAGAACTACCATCTGGAAGGGCACCCCTAACCTCCACTCATCTCCCTTCCTGATCTGGACCCTCTACTGGCCCGTAGCCCTATCCTTCAGCCCCAGGAGCCCAGCTGGGGTTCTCAACAGGAGATGCAGAAAGCTGGTGGGAGGAGGGCCTGTCCTTTAAGTGGCTTTTCTCTGTCCCTTGCAAAACTCGCCCCATCGTGGAGCACAGCACCGAGGAGAAGCAAATCAGTGGGCCGGAGGGAAGAAATCTTCCACAGAGGAGCTGCCCCAGACTCCCTGCCCCCAGCATGTGCCTGCTGCCCACTGCAGCAAACCCGCCCCAGGCTGCTTGCTGGGAGCTATTCAAAGGCTCCTCTGTTCTCCTCCTTTGCTCAGGGCTGAGCAGGATCAGCAGCCTCAGAGCTGGGCAGGAAATGCTAATCTCCCAGATGTTCCCCTCCGTCCTCCCTGCTCCACCACCATCAACCCCAAATCCTGCACCAAGTGGTTGGAGTCGAACTGGGCCAAGGCAGTAATAGTAGGGGAGTGCTTATTAGTCTCTCCTGCTATATGTCCCTACTCCTGCTGCCAGGTTGTGTCTGTGGGGACCCGAGTTGGGACAATGTAGGTACGAGTATTGGGGCTTGTTTTCCTCTGGGAGGACAGGCAGAGCTGAGACTTTGAGGAGAATGGTTGGGGAATAGAGGGGGTAGCGTCTGAAGAAGAGAAGCCAGGCTCTTGGCCCTGTACCAAACTGGGAGGAGGACCAGTTGGCAAGTGAGGCGTTGGGGGAGGCTCCTCAAACTGACAGTGACTGAGAGTCCATCTGGGACTGTGTCCAGAGAATGAAGCCTGGGTGCTGCTAGGTAGGAAAATGGCTGGGATGTTTGCTGATATGTGTTTACCTGGGCTGGGCTCTAGCTGAGAAGGCTGGGATACATTAGAATCTGAAACCAAGAGAAAGGCTGTTGCCTCTGTTTGCTGTGATGCTGGCGTGCCTAGGTTGTAGCCAGATAATCACAGGACCCAAGAAGCTGTTGTGAAGTAATGGGTTTATATGCCTGTGTGCGTGCTGAAGGGGGGCTGTTACTGAAAAGCCTTTGGTCTGGAAGCTGTAGGTAAGACACTGGTACCCCTGAGACTGGCTATAGCTAAGCTGTTCCGTGTTAATTTGGTGTGGTTAGGGCTGTAGCTGAAATACACTGTGTAGGTCTAGGAGATAAAAAAAAAAAAAAAAGCTGTTGCTAGGAGCCTGTACCTGAGAAGCAGGCTGTTACCTGGGATAAGAGCCGAGCTACTGTTGTATATAGGACTGTAGCTGGCACGCTATTGGTCCTGAAGCTATAGCTGTGATGACAGCGTATTGAGGATTGGCTATAGCTAAGATGCTCTTGCCCAGGATTGTGACTGGGCTGTTCTTGTGTGCAAGGCTCTCACTGGGATGCTGTTACGCCTGCAGCTAAAGCTCTGAAGCTCGGGTGTAGCTAGGACGCCATTTCTTGGTAATATAGCTGGACCACTGTTGTGTGGGGGCTGTAGCTAAGATTCCGTTGTCTAGGAGATGAGGAGCTGTTCCCCAAGATGCTGTTCTGGGAGGTAGCATGCTACTGGAGATGGGAGCGGATCAGCTTAGGATGGTCCTCCAGCGGCCATTGCTGGGTCTGGGATGGGCTGGGTGGGGGAGGGCAGGTGAGTCCTGTCTAGAGGTCTGAGAGATGCCAGCAACCAAAGGTCAGGCTGGAGCTGCTGCTCCGGGAGGCCTCGGCAGCTGCTCTGCTGTGGAGCTCAGAAGCCTGTTTTCATTACTGTTTTAACTCTTTTTTTAACCTTGTTTTTCTCTCGGCTGCACTTTCGCTCACTCATTAATTTTGGTATTTTTCTCACGGTGCCTCAGCCCCTGTCACGGCTGCCATGGCAACAGGAGGCAGTGTGCATAGTGCCAAAATATCTGATCAAAAAATAACCAAAATAAGCAAACACCAGGATGGCTATACTTGGGGCTATGGCCAAAAAAGTGTTGATGGGTGATATTCTGGAAACCCTTGGTTCTCACGGGAGCCCTTCCACTCCCCCTCTTCTTTAGGGAAGCTTCTGAACCTTCTGATAACCTGGGAGGTTGCTCCCGAGGGATCGCATAACATACTTTCCTGGGATTCTGAGATTTTCAGCAGTCCTTGGTCAAGCGACAGCTTTTCCTGGGGTTAGCATATGAGGAGAGAGTAAGATCTAAGAGTCTCCATACCTTCCCTAGTAGAATCCTTCTGCACCCACCCACCTACCCACCCACTCACGCCTCCCCTGCCCTGTCTTAGGCTTATCCCTCCTCCTCTGCTCCTAGCCCATGCTTGGTCATCTCCACTTTCCTCTTTTTATAGCCCAACACCCTGAAGGGATGGACTGAGGCAAGAAAACTGCGGTCCCTCAGACCACCCCAGCCATCCCCAGCTCCTCAGTGAGTAGAGAAGGGTGCCATTAAAGAACTTAACAGTACTAGGTATCTGGCCACCTCTAGCATTGCCTGCCTAAGGGGGGGCTCCTCAGCACCCCAAATACTCTAACCCCACTCTTATTTGCTCTCTCATTTCTTATTTCCCTGGAGAGACATCCTCTCCAAAGGGCAGGTTCTAAAACGAAGAGAACCTTGGGTGGTAAGGGAGGAAGAATCAGAAGTCTTTGTATTACCTGTCCTGTGTCGCCCCACCTCGTCCTTTAACCCTCACTAATGATCCCTCTGTGGGAGCTTGTCTGTCTGTAGCACTGGGAATTGGGGGCATAAGAGGGAACCCCTTAATCACTCAGTTACATCTCTCTCTGTTCCTGTGCCCCACTCCCAACACACCTGCTTCCCCTCTGGGAATGCCGAGAGAACTTGTTTCCTGATCTTCACTTTCAATTTCTTTTCTCCCCTCCCTTCAAGAGCAGTAGTGGCCTTGGCCTCCTGGCAGAGCCTTCCTAGCCTGTTTCCATAGAAACCTGGTAGGTTGTGCAGTGCAGGAGTGGGAGAGGAGACAGAAGGAAAGAGGGACCAGGCCTCAAGGGCAGCCCCAGATGAAGGAACATGGGTACTGAGAGAACGTGGGGATCTGCTCCATCCAGAGTGGGACCCTGCTTTGGGGAGGGGAGGGAAGAGGTTGAAAATGCCTGCTAGATTCTACTCGTGTGCAGTTTGCCCTGATGCCTCCTGAGAAGGGAACGTAGAACTATCTTTGCTTGGCACAGAGAAAGGGGATCTCTCTCTCTCTGTGTCTCTGTCTCTGTCTCTGTCTCTCTCTCTCTCTCTCTCACACACACACACACACACACATACACACATATGCTGCCATCTTCACCTCTTTAAGATCCTTGTTTATCAGAAACTGCTTAATTGGGAATGACTTTCTTCCCAGGCAGGACCCATTAGTCTCTAAGACAGGGACCATGGGACACCTCTCCCCCAACAGCTCCTCATCCTTCTTAGCCCAGCTACTTGGAATTAGAAGAATGGGCAGCCCCAGGGGACCCGGTGGCCTCTGCTGACCTCATGGCGTGCAGCTCTCAAAGGCCTCATTCATGTCTGGGGGCTGAAGGCACCATTGTCCCCCCCGCGGGGGGGGGGCATGTAGCTTGGGGACTGAGGGGTCTCGACTCAGAAGGAAGGAATGCGTCTGGATAAGTTGCCCGCCCCTCCGGGGAGGGGGCCTCTAGTTTCAAGGTCCCCACCAGATC